CGTTTATGGATTTCGAGTCGGGAATAGAGCAGTGGCTTATTCGTCGCTATATCACAATTCATTCATTCTCGAGCATAGCTATTCATGAAAGGTGACATGGGGTATCTGTCTGCAGTAGGAGTCTTACATTCAAGCGAGAGGTCAGACCATTAAACTTTGTTGTGAAAGAGCATATGAAGAAAAACCCAATCCATGGGTTATTCCTTTTTTATCATTCCGGTCACTCTCCCAAACCTACTTCTTCGTTTTGTAATCCAGCCACTTTACAATCTTCATGATTCAACCTTTACCTCATGTCTTTCCTCTCTCAACGGGCGCACAGACATATCTCTCAAAGCAACTACCCAAAAACTGCTTTCCTAAAGTCTCTTTTCATCAGTAAATTTAAGCCAAAATCAAATGGATAACTTCACTTTGATTTCTGCACCTTTTGGCTCCATTTCTAATCCAGAAAAAGGCATAAAAATGTTATATCAAGTGCATTTTCATTGCTTGCATTCTTCTTCGTGTCCGTGTCGCAAAGTTGGTTGACACTACCTATGATGGTTAAAAATAAAGGCCCAACAAAAATAAAGCATTTTTTCGATAAAACAAACGATTTGTTTTGACAACTTTGAACATAATTAACCCCTTTGAGTTAGCCAATCTCACAAGATCGATCGGGCAAGCTCGTTGGGAAAGGGTGATTAGCAGAGAAAAGAATTACTAAGAGATAGACTCTACTATTTGGTCACGATGAATGAGTAGTCGTGAAGCTTTCTGTCCTAGTGCACTTGAAGACTGCTAGCTCGCCTTCTTCTTGTGCCTTAAATTAATCAATAGTGCTGGCTTTAAATCAATATAACGACACTTTGACTTTACCAAAGATAAACTGGTGCTCCTACTTGCTTATAATAGCCTCTTCCTCGTGAGTCACTTCTTTCTCCAAAACATGAGAACAAAGTGCTTTTCTAATTTTAAAGCTTTCCCGTGGAGACCAACAACATTTTTAACAGCACATAAACTATATCTTCACGTCCATAAGAACCAATGACAAAAGTGATAAACAATTCATCACTGGATCTCGTCATGTTTGAAGCTCTTAAATTACATTTAGCCTCTCCCTAGCCGAGAGATGAAGGAATCAACGTCAAATTCATACTCACATGAATTTTAGGGAAAACCACCCCAAGATTCTCAGTCTTCCAATCCTCTTTGCTACCTTTTGTTTCTAAAAGATTTTTTTTTTTTGACAGAAAAATTATAACAGATGCAGTGACATAATTCCAATTGGCAACAGATGATTTGATGGGGATATTGACTGTGCTTAAAATAGTCCAATAATGGGATGTCATGTGGCATTATGCCAACCGTTATATTTTTGTAGCATGATTCTTTCTAAAATGTAAACTAAAGGAAAAGCAGATGGTGAAAGACCTACAAGACTCGCACGCGTAGGGAAAAAGTAATACAATAAAGGATTGTCCTTTACTACAACAATAAAAGGCTTACACAATCGAGAATGGGGCTAGACCTCACATTGAC